GGTACGGTTAACTGGATCTTCTGGTTTCTCTGGAGCCTAGTGTCTTTCTGGGGAAACCTTGTCAGGGATTTGAGGACATGAATTGATGGCCAGGCTCTGGGCTCTGGAGGAAGAGCCTACAGGTACCTTACATACATACGCAACCTCCAGTCAACCTGCCTGGATTCCCTCCATGTTTACTTGCTCTGTCTGGTGCTCCCAGCCTTCAGGAAGGAAAAATTCTTTCTGCTGTGGAAAGAAAATGAAGGGAAGCAGAGAGGAGCCTATGTTCCCACCTGCAGTTCCTTTCCATCTCCTCAGGGCCCAGGGCACCAGAGACACTAGGTTAGCTTTGTATTCAATCCACTCACTTGGGAGACGGTAGGGCTGGAAGGAGAGACGGGGAAGGAGGCCTTACTCCATGGATTATCTCCTGTGTGGTGATCTTTTGTGTGTTTTCTCACCTGGTCCCCCACACTCAGGCTGATGGATGGATTGAGATGTTTGTCTTCATGCTTAGCCTGGCTGAGGGCTGTTCTCAGCACTTCTGATCAGTTTTACACTGGCCAAGGATGTCCCTGAAGTGGAATCAGACATGCTTGCTGTAAGGGTGACAAGGGTGCTGGCAGTGCTGGATACAGAGCACAGGGGCAGGGACACACATGGCCCATGAAGACACAGTCAACAGGCATAGACAGGAGACACAATGATTGTTTGGGCTAAAGGGAAAGCCTACTGGAAGGGGGTAAACCCAGAGAGGTGATGAAAGGGCCCGTGGGTTTTCTGTCCCCATGCTGCCTCTGGTTGAGGCAGTGAGTGTGAGCCTGCACAGTAGGAAGGGAGGGCTGAGAGTTCAAAGTTTATCAGACTTAGGTCTCATTTGTATTTGGCAAAGTGAATGAAGCTAAGGTGCACAGAGGAGAAAGGATACAGCCCTCCCTAAAGGTGGAAAAGCCCTGCCTAGAAGTTGAACACAAGGGAAGATCTGAATAATAGTATGGGCCCACTTGTCCATCCCAGAGATGGAAGAGACTCCTCATTCCTGTCCCTAGGCAGGCCATCGACCCTTCTTGCACTTTGGCTTTGCTGTCTACCCGAGCGGTGGTCACGCAAGCCTTTTCTCAGCTATGGATGCCACAGCACTGTGATAAGGACCAGATTCAAGAATAAGAAAACACGGCTGGGGGAGGGAAGGGGGGGAAGGAGAAGGATTGGGATTGGGGGGGAAGGGGGAGGCTGGGAAGGGAGGTGAAGGGTAAACCAAAGGAGCAGGATGCAATGCTTGGTAAGAAATGTACGCATTATCCTGCCCATGTAATTGTAACCCCTCTGTACAGTATGTTCACAAATAAAATTAAATTAAATTAAAAAAAAAAAAAAAAGAAAACACGGCTGGGAAGGTAGCTCAGTGGTAGAGCGCTTGCCTTGCATGCTTGAGGCCCTGGGTTCGATTCCTCAGCACCACATTAGCAAAAAGAAAAAAGCCGGAAGTGGCGTTGTGGCTCAAGCGGTAGAGCGCTAGCCTTGAGCTGAAGAGCTGAGAGACAGCACCCAGACCCAGAGTTCAGGCCCCATGACCACCACCAACAACAACAACAAACAAACAAACAAAGAACAAGAAAACAGGCGGAAGAGCTTACAATGTTTAAATCGATACGTTGGGGGATTTCAGACAAGCCCTGAAGGAGAGAATAGCGTGCTTGGCTTTGGCTGTAGCTCTGCTGCTAGAGTGTTAGGATACTGGTTTGAGTCATACAATAGAGCGCTCAAAATAGTCATGTTCTTTAATAAAACACGATTTATTTCTCACCTGTGAAGACTCCCTAGCTGAGGGTGAGTGGAGGCTTTCCTATCAAACATGCCTAGATTCTTTCTTTCTTACTCTGCCATCCTCATCTGTGGGCCAAGGTGGCTGCTTCAGCTCCAGCCCTTATCACTGCATTGAAATCAGCAGAGAACACTGAGATGGGAAGGTTCCCTTCTCCATCCTTATATGGGCACAACCCAGAAATTGCACCTATTACCTCCATTCATATCCCATTGGCCAGGAAGGAAGTCTGGGAAATGTAGTCCTTTGCCATATCATGTGGGGTATGGAGAAACAGCCTGCACTTTTTATCACAACCATTGACTTGCTTGGGCTCTATCTGTGTCATAGTTTTCTTTATTTTTAAATTCATTCATCTCTCTCTCTCTCCTGCACACACACACACACACACACACACACACACACACACACGCATGCACGCACGCACGCACACACACACACACACACACACATGCAGAAATAAGATTTTTAAAAAATATTTTTGTATTACTGGGGCTTGAACTCAGGTGCCCTGGGCTTGCTCAGTTACCACTTAAGCCACTCTCCAGCCTTTTTGCTGGTTAGTTGGAGACGGAGTAGACTTTTCTATCTAGGCTGTCTTTAAATTGCCATCTGGGGCTGGAACTGTGGCCCAGTGGTAGAGTGCTTGCCTAGCATGCATGAAGCCCTGGAGTTCCGTTCCTCAGTACCACATACACAGAAAAAGCTGGAAGCGGCACTATGGCTCAAGTGGTAGAGTGCTAGCCTTGAGCAGAAAATCTCAGGGACACCCCCCAGGCCCTGAGTTCAAGCCCCATGACCCACAAAAAAACAACAACAACAAAAATCCATCTTCCAGGTCACCAAATCCTGAGAATTAGAACCCCAGGCCAGAGCCATCAGTGCCAGGCTCTAAAGTAAGATTTTTGAACCTGCTTAATGCTAGTGGACCTTATAAGCCCCGTGAAGTCAGATGCAAAGTCTCTAGTGCTCACCACTATATTCCCAGAATGCACTGCGGGTCTGGCACATGGAAGCCATATACTGTCTGCTCCTGGATGATGAATGATGGCCATTTGGACTTTCCTATTTGGTGGGTGGCATTTTTTTTCCTCATTCAGAGGTTTAATTTCTCTTTCCTTCCAAGCCTTCTGGCTCCACCGCTTCTCGTCTCTATGTGCCAAGCTTTTCTAAGCCTAGGAAATAAAATGTGCTTTAGGCCAGACTCCTGACTGGGATTAAAAATAAATGAAAGTATATCAAAGCAAGTTAACCATAGCAATGGCTTCCAGGGTAATTAGGCATCAGTGTAGGAGGCCAACTTTAGAGCATCAGGCTCTAACTATCAAGTGCTCTCATCACCCCACTACTGCATAGGGCAGGGAGCATACTGGGCTAGCTGCAGGCTCCCTTGACCCTCCAACACCCTAAAAGTAGGCGAGACCGCCACACACATTGACCTGGGAGAACGGACTCTAATTCTAGCTCTGTTACCTACATGCTGGGGTGATCCTAGGAAAATCCATACCTGTTTGGTCTCAGCCACCACAAAGTGGTTTGATCTACTTGTAATCATCTAGAAGGTACAGGTCATGTGGAACTTAGCTCACAGGCAGAGGACCCTAAATTTTCTCAGTTTACTATACCCTTAGTATCTCAGTGTGGTAGCTCCCTGCAAAAAAATACCTAACACTTATTTATTAAGTGATTAGTTTCAAAGAACTTGGTAATGATTGTTTGCATAGCATCTGGACCACACCATTGTGTGCCCTCAAAATCACAACTATTTTTCCCTGCTTCTGTGGGAGTCTCCCGCAACAGTTGGTGGTGCCTTGACACACAGTTTGGGAACTGCAGTCATAAGACTTTGAAGATGAAAGGAAGTTGTGGACATCAAGGGCTTAGCACGATGCCTGACACAATGCCTGGCCCAGAGAAGGAGATCAGAAAGTGTTGATTGCCCTACATGATCCCTCAAGACTCCTTGTGAGATCCTCATATAGAGTTGTTGATCTAATTTTTCCCTGCTTCTGGCATGGCCCTTTTAGATGGATGGGTGTCCTTATGCCTTAGCTTTGGGCTTGGTTGTATTACTCACTTTGTCCAAAGGCATGTGGGAAAAGTGGCAAAGTGGCATTTCTGAGCATTGGCCTTACAGCAGCCTCACGTAATTCATTTGCTGTCTTACCCTTTGCTGCTGCTAAGAGAAGATTGTACCACCAACCCAGAGACTTCAAGAAAACTATGGAAGACAGGAGCAGCATCAGACCTACAGATGTGCCGCTGGAAATAAAACACCCTGGTCAACCCACAAACTCATGCATGAAAACAAATGGCTGCTATGGTTTAGATAAGTGTCCCCCAAAGGCCATGTATTAAAGGTTTGGGCCCCAGCCAATGGTGCTATTAGGAGGTGGCAGAGCATTTAAGAAAGAGGTGGGGCCTATTAGCAGGCTTTCCAGTCATATGAAGGGGATATTGGGACTCTGGTCCTCTGTCTCTCTCTCTATCTCTCTGTCTCTGTCCCTCTCTGTCCCTGTTTCTGTTTCTGTCTCTGTCTGTCTGTCTGTCTCTGTCTCTGTCTCTCTCATTCTCTCTCTGTGTGTCTGCTCTCTGTCTCTCTCTCTCTGTCTCTGTCTCTCTCTGTCTCTCTGTCTCTGTCTCTCCTTTTCTCTGCTGTGGGTCTCAACAAGGTAAGCATAATCCCTGTAATGTGCAGTCCAAAATGACTGGGCCATCTGACCATGAATTGAACCTTTTAAAACTATTAGCCAAAAAAAAACAACTTCCTGTTTTTTAAGGTAATTATCTCAGGTATTTTGTTTTAGGAATGGAACACTCTGTCTCACATAGTGGGCTATGTCCCAGCGAAAGCTCAGTGTGCATTCTTTATATGTAAAGCACACATCAAGCTGTCAGAAAGGGACTTCTTTTCATAGTAGCCATTATTGTAACCATTCAAAGCTTTACAGTTTCTGTGATCCTTTTGACTTCAGCTGTTCTCAGCTTGTGGAAGCAGTGAGCGCTGGGTTGCCCATATCTCAGAGATTTCCCTTCCTCCTTCCTTGTTGTGTTCCAAGTACCAAAAGCCCTTTAAAAAAAAAAAAACCTCCATTCTCCAAGGTGAACTACTTCCTGCTCTGTTCTTATTAGCTCCAATCTCAGTGATTTGCCCAGTCCCTGCCGCCAGCCTGGGAAAAGCTGGGGACTATACACGTCAAAGGTCCCTCAAGCCCATACCCAGATCAGCATCAAGGTCTCCCTCAAGAGCTCTGAAATGAAAACAACAGGAGAGCCCACCCCCAGCCTTGGGCAGACCCTGGAGTGGCTGAGAAAGGAGCTGGTAAGGCTTTGCATTTCTTTTGCCCTCATTTCCTAAGGTGCTCAATTAGCTGAGACAGAGGCTTCAGGGGCCCTGAAATATGGGCCCTTCAGGCACCCTTCTGGGCCTGGACACACAGTACACAATTGGGTCTCAGGGGGCTGGGATAAGTAGGTCGTGGCCTACATAGAAGGTGTGCTAGGTGCAGTGTTGGCTAAGCTGGTTTTAACATTCACTGGGTCCTGGGTATGCTGTAGTATGACCTCTAGTAAGTGGCTTGACCTCTGTACGCCTGAGTTTCTTCATCCTAAATTAGGGGTGACAAAACTACTAATTTGGTAACGGTGATAGAAGGATCCATTGCAAGGATGACAGGCTATAGGTGTGATCACCCAGATGCTGATGGGCATGGAGGACACTCACTGTTTTAGCCTGGATGTTCTAGAAAGCAGAAGCAAGACAAGAGTTGAGGAACTACCAGAACATTTGGAGGTGCAAGCCCGGAGTGGTAGGAGGGAGAGAAACTGGCCAGAGGCAAAGACTGATGCTGTGCCAGGCTGTGGTGCCTGGTGTTCCGGAGCTGCCTACTGCTGCAGGAGCATGCCAAAGGTCCAGAGTGACTTCCACTGGTAACGATTCCCTCTACAGGACACACACTCTCATGAACATGAATGTTAGTTAATCCCTGGTGGCTACTTGGATGCTAGGTCTCATATCCTTCACTGTAGTGCTTTCTCCAAGTCCTAGAATTGAGGGGTGTTCCGAAGCATATGGGGTCACCAGTCAAAAGAGGGAAGGGGGGCTGTTCAGGGAACCTCAAAAGAGGCTTAGTCCCCAATACAGCCCCTTCTCATTCTGGACCAAGTTGCTGCAGGATTGTTTGAAGAATCTTTTTGGGTTGCCAGGCAACAGATCCCCTAGATCCCAACACTATCATCACCTCCCCCAAAGGGAGAGGCTAACCTAATAGGACTTCTCCTTCTCATTGGTCTGCAACTGTCTATAAACATTCTGAACTGAGCAGGGGATAGGGGGGAGGCCCCTCTGCTTGAGCTGAGATTGCTTGGGACCTAAGCCCAAAACTCTCTGTTTCCCCACAGAAGGACAAGGCCAGGAGGGAGCCGGTGCCACCCAGAGACCAGCCTCTCAGGCTGAAGCACTTTGTGTTCTCGTTCAGCTTCCTTCCTATTCCTGGCATAATTCTAATACTTGAGTGCTGGACACAGACTTTGTCTCATCTGCAAAATAACCAGCTTGACATAAAAACTAACATATCTTTTTAAAAAAATGTTTTCAGTGCTAGGAACTAAGCCCAGGACCTTGTACATAAAATGTCCCACCACTGAGCTACATCTCCATCCCTGAAACATGTGTTCATTCTTGTTACTGGCATTGGAACTCACACCCAGTTCATCACACATAGCTCTGTTTCTGAGCTACAGCCCCAGCCCCTAAAATACTATTTTTATAGGATAAATAATGGTATTATATCCCTTTTTATTTTTTATTGTTATTATAAAAGTGATGTACAAAGGGGCTGATTACAGTTATATGTCAGGTAAAGAGTACCTTTCTTTTCTGCCGGCTTTTTTCTTTTTGTTTATGTGGTGCTGAGGAATCGAACCCAGAGCCTCATGCATGCAAGGCAAGCACTCTACCACTGAGCCATCTTCCCACTGGCCCCAAGAGTACCTTTCTTTTTGGACAATGTCAACCCCTCCTTTGCTCTCTCCCAGTTTTAACTTCCCATCACCAGCCACAGTTGTATGGTTTATTTTAACATAGTGTCTAGTGGATACTACTGCTGCATTTGTTCACCCTTTGGTCCTGCATTTCTGTGCAATATGTATCTCTTCTAATGAGAAATAAAGCTGGGCAGTGATGGCTCACATCTGAAATCCTAGCTACTGGAAAGGCTGAGATAGGAAGGATTACAGTTTGAGGTCAGCCTACACCAAAAAAATGTGTAAGATCCTTTTTCTCTACTAATACCTGAGTACGGTATCATAATCCTGGCATTCTAGCTCCATGGGAAGCATAAATAGGTCTCACTCTAAGAGCTTTCCTACACAGGAAGCAAGACAATCTCAAAAATAATTAATATAAGAAAAGCTGGGGGCATGACTTAGCAGTAGAGCACCTGAATTCCAACTGCAGAACCATCAAAGGGACAGAAGGAGGTAGAGAGGGGTGTTGAAAAATCTTCCTATCTAATCAATAGTGTGTTATGTGTTATACCACAGTCAGTGGGAAAGACAACTTGAAGGGTAGTCGGGCCTTGTGGAAAGGGCAGGAGTTTTAGCACAGCTGTCTAGATATTTGCAGGATTCATATCCCTGAACTCAGCCAACTGTGCACTGAGAATATTGCACTGGAGGGAAAATTGTGTCTGCACTGAACATGTACAGACTGTTTTCCTTGTCATTGCTTCCTAAACAACACAGTATGACACCTACTCACACAACATTCACATCGTACCAGGTATTACAAGTCATCTAGGCCTGATTTAAAGTATACAGAATTTTATATAAGCACAGGAGTCCTGGAACCCATCTCTGTTGGATCCTGAAGGACATTATGTGTGCCCTTTCATTGTATCGTGTGTAAAAATTACTGTCACGAAATAAACTTTTAACATTTTGAGAAAAGTGTAAGTATAACACAGATGAGATATGAAAACAATAAAACTTCCTGGAGGAAATGGAAGAATAGAGGTAGGCAGGTGGTTGAGGGTGGTAGAGTTCTATTGCTTTGGTTCTCAATGCAGTAGGATCCCTTAAGTTTGTCAAAACTATTAAGGATAACAAAAACCTTCGTGTTGTGAGTTATTTCTATCAACATGGACTGGATTGGAAAGAGAAGCTGAGAAATAATCAATATTTGTTAATGCATTTAAACTGATAAATACATTCCATGCTGTTTAAATAATAGTTTACTTTAAAAAATTTACTAGCAGATATTAATCATGCAAAGTGACAGGTTTCATTGTGATATTTCCATACTTGCATACGATGCACTTTGACAGTAATTCACACCCCATTACTCTTTATTTCCCCTCCTAGTGGAGCTATGGCTAAAGTGGTAGAGCACTAGCTTTGAAACAAAAAGCTTAGGGACAGTGCCCAGGTTCTTCAAGCCCCAGTCCTGTGACAAAAGAGAGGGCAGGAGAAGGGAGGGGAAATCAAGGGAGGGGAGGGGAAGGGAGGAGAAAGGAAAATAGTAATTAAGTACTGTCATGAAAGTTGTTCTGCCTTCAGTGGCACTCTTACCAGAGTTCCTGGGATCCAGGTTGTCGCAGACCTCGCATTAGGAATGACTGTTCTCTAGGTTGCTAGGTTGCTTCATTTTATTTAATTGGGGAAAAAAGCAAAAAGCCTCTATATTCTTGATATCTGTGAAGGGAATCATTTGTTACCATGAAGACTGAAGAAGAGAGCAGAGTGACACAAGTCCTACATTAGAGCTAATTCATTCTGTCTTCATAGGAGTGTGGAAAGGCAATTTGCTTTCTCCTTCGTAGATGAAGAAACCAAGGCTTTGGTAGGTAGCTTCTGTTGGGTGTGCAACAGGAGACATGTGTCCCATGAGGAGTAGGAAGGGACTTTATACCCTAACAGCTTTTCTCTCTCCTAGGCTGAGATGCAGGTTCAAGACCAGCAGCTTCTTCTCACACTGAGGCATCTTCACAGTGTCCTGGCAGAGCTTCAGGCTCAGAGTGTGCACTGGGACGATGCCAGGTCCAGCAGAGGAGCATCTCCCATCCGGGCTCGAGCAGGCTCCGAAGGCAAGGGCTGCCAGCCTGTCTCCTTGAGGGGACTGGCCCAGATCCTCCGAGGGGAAGAGAGTAGACGAAGCTCCCTCCCTTAAGAGGCTGGAGATGTGGGCTGGGAATGTGGCTTAGTGGTAGAGTGCTTGCCTAGCATGCATGAAGCCCTGGGTTTGATTCCTCAGTACCACATACACAGAAAAGGCCAGAAATGGTGATGTGCCTCAAGTGGTAGAATGCTAGCCTTGAGCAAAAGAAGCTCAAAGACAATGCTCAGACCCTGAGATCAAGCCACAGAACTGGCAAAAAAAAAAAAAAAAGAGGCCAGAGATGACACTTGCCTGAATCTTCCTTCTACTAGTCTAAACTTCCCCCTGCAATGTTTGGAAGGACAGTCATGAAGCCAGGGCTCTGGGTTTGTCTCTACCCTCACCTGCTGTATGTCCCTGGGCCCATCACTCATCTCCTCTGTCTTTCTGTCCCTTATCAGAAGCTTTTGGAGAAGTATAAATAAAGTGCTGGAACCTCGGGGAAGGGAGGGAGGGAGGGGATGGTAGGGGGAAAACAATGGAGGGGGTAACAATGTTCAAGAGGAAGTGTACTCATAACCTCACTCATGTAACTGTAACCCTCTGTATAGTAGCTTTACAATAAAAAAAAAATAAATAAATAAATAAAGTGCTGGTTGTGAACAAGGTTTACAAGTGCCAGTGTGTTACACAGCTTCTGGCAAGCACTCACTATGGTAATCTAGACCTTGAGAATGTCCCACAAAGGAAGACCTTGATGTGTGGGGATGTGTTTCCATGGTGAACAATCAGAACGCATGTAGTGAATTAGTGGCTGATTTCTGTCTTCTCAATAGGCCTTCATATCCTCCTTTACCTGAAAAATATCCAAAATAAACAAATAAACAAACAAACAAAAAAAACAGGTTCTAGTGCCACAGGAATGGAGATGTCACCAAACCTGGCCAAGAATATAGTTCATGGTTGCTGTTAGACAGCAACCACTGATTGGTTCAGTGGATGGGTATGTGACTCAACAGAGCCAATTGCCATCCTTTTCTGGCATTGCTGTCTGGATTATCTTTCTATTACAGTTATATATGGTCTAAGGACAAATGTTTGGATGTCATGTTGACAAGAAGTGAATTGCTGACTTTGTTGGATTGAGAGTTATCTATATTAGTAAAGGACATCTCTGAGTGTGTCCATGAGGTTGTCTCCAGAGACAATAAATCATGAGAGCTCTGGATGTCATAATTGGGAGGTGGTGTAAAGTAGGAGGTGGGTCCTGGTTGAAGGAAACACGTCCTCTAGGGGTCTACTTTGCCTTGGTCCCTTCCTGTAGCCTCTTTCCTTACTTTCTGTCCACTATGAGGTGAACAGGTCTCCTCCACCACACACTTCCCAGCTGCCATGATCAGCTCAAGTACAAGGGGTCAAGTGACTATAAGTAAAACAACTCCTCCTCCTTTAGGGTGCTTTCCCGGGTATTTTGGTCACAGTGATGGAAAGGCAACTAACACAAGTTACAAAGCAGAAGGTTCTCGTGGCTCTGTTCCCTGCTAGGAAGAGAAGAGCCGGCGTTATAGGCATGAAAAAGTCATGTCTTCAAAAAGAATAGAGAAAGGACTGTCCTCGAGATGGAGAACGAGGGAAAGTACTGGCGCTTTTTAGTTCCTAGCTCAGTTTTGTGAGTATCCACTGTATTCTTCCCAGTGAATTCCACCACGAGCATGCACAGCAATACACACCAGTTTGGATTTTACTTAACTGATTTAAGAAGGATTTTCCTCACTTGCAACCAGAATGGCCCCTAGGAATACAATACAGATGATCAAAGAAGCAAAGAAGAGAATCTCTCAGAAAAGGGCCCTTCATTCAGTTGGGGTTTGTGACCATGACCTCCAGAATAGCTGGCAGCAAGACTCATGACAGGGCAATGTTACTGGAACTGATAATGCTTGTCCCAGTGGAGCCGCCAAAGAGCTGTTACCGGATCAGATCGCATCTGGGACTGACAATGCTCAGGGGAGGGGGTGTCTGAAAGGGAGGAGGCTTGCCTGGCCCTGGGGTGGCCAGTTTGTGCTGTTGCTGGGGGGTTGGGGGAGAGAGTTTGAGGTAAAGACTCAGAAAGCTTATTAGTAAAGCCAAGGAAAGGAGAGCTGGAAAAATAATACATTACCCAGATCTAGGCATGGGCACACCTGATAACAGGTACCATGAGTGCTCTAACATCACAAGTGATTACAGTAAAAATTTTAAAAGGCTGAGGTTTGGCTCCAATTTATCAGAGAATAAGTGTTCTTTTTTTGTTGTTGTTGTTCAAATACCTGGTATATTCTGTCATTCTTGTTAACTTTTTTCTTTTTTTTTCAAAGCAGAGATTTCAAGGTTGGCCCATTCACTAAACTTGGGTTATTGATGTCTGGGGATTCCTTCAAACCAAGGATGGATTCTGCCACATGTTCCCTTTGAGACTGATATCCTCTGTTGCGACTATGTATTTTTAAACATACTTTATACACCAAAGAGTCATTTCCCCAGAATGTCTGAAAGAAAAAAAAAAAGATTTTGTTGCTCAGTCCTAGATCATGTTAACCAGAGGGCAAGTGGACAAGAACAAGGATCGGAAAAGAGAGATGTTCTTTTTCCCTTTCAAAGATTTTTGTTGGTTTGTTTTTAAGCTAGGCACCAATAGGGTCACGCCTGTAGTCTTAGCTACTCAGGAGGTTGAGATCTAAGGATTGTGGTTCAAAGCCGTTCTGGGCAGGAAAACCTTTAGGACTCTTTTCTCTAATTATCTACCAAAACGCTGAAAGCAGAGCTACAGCCAAATGGAAGAGCATTAGCCTTGAAGAGGGGCAGGGAGGGAAGGGGGAAACCTCAGGGGCAGCACCCAGGGCCCTGAGTTCAAGCCCCAGGACTAGCACACAAAACAAAAACAAAACTTGTAGCCTATGAGGGAATATAAGGACAAAAAGAGTGCTTCTGTGTTTTTAATCAAGCAACTCACGAATATAGTGTTTGTTTCTAAATTCTTGGCTGCTGTTTCCCAGGGCTCTTTCTCTGATCGATTCTACTTTAACAGGACACTCAATTATATGGAGCGTGGCAGTCATAACTTTGAAATGATATCTGCTTGTTTAAAAAAGATTAAAACAGAAAAGATGAAAATGAAAAAGATCATTGTGCTAAGATGGTCCACTTACAAGTAGGTGTTTTTTTGTTCTGTTTGTCAGTCATGGGGCTTGAACTCTTGGCCTGGGCATGGTCCCTCAGCTCTTCAGCTCAAGGTGAGCTACCACTTCAGCTACAGCTCCACTTCCAGTTTGCTGATGGTTAATTGGAGATAGGAGTCTCAGAGACTTTTCTGCCTGGTCTGGCTTTGAACCGTGATCCTCAGATCTCAGCCTCCTGAGTAAATTAGGATTACAAGTGTGAGCCATTGACGCCCAGCTTCAAGTAGGTGGGTTTCTTTTTAATATCAACTTGCATTTTTTGGGTATATGTGTTAGTCCTGGGGCTTGAACTCAGGGCCTGGGCACTGTCCCTGAGCTTTTGTGTGTGAGGCTAGCACTCTATTACTTCAGCCACAGCTTCACTTCCAGTTTTTTGGAGGTTAATTGGAGATAACAGTCTCACAGATTTTTCTGCCCAGGCTAGTTTCAAACCACGATCCTTAGATCTCAGCCTCTTGAGTAGCTAGGATCACAGGTATGAGCCACCAACACTCTACTTCTACTTGCATTTTATTAGAATGTTATTTCTGTGACTTTGGAAAATCAATCCACTACACACAGAGGCAGAGTAGGGGATGTGCATAATATATATATATACTATTTGAGAACATAAAAGTACTTGCTCTGTGATGCTGGGGGCTGGGACCCTGTGTTTCCAACTGCTTGCTGTTAGACTTTGCTGGTCTTTGCAATAAACAGGGTATAGCCAGCGTACCTGAAGGAGGATGGAGAAGGGACTGGCTTGCTGGAAGTCTTTCTGTCCCAATAAACACCACGCAGAGATGCAACTTCACCTCATGGTAGCAGCTTCTTGCCTGGCTGTATCCATCCCCAGGATCTAGGTACAGTCCAGGCCCATGGATACCTCCTTGAATCCAGAGACACCAACCCCAGCTGAGCTGAGCTCCCTTCCCAGCTCTCTGCCTGTAAGGTCTGTCCTTTTGTTCTCTCAGCCCTGGAGGTGGTTGGTGTGTCCTGTAATTGCTACCTTACAGTTCTTTTTATAACCTCTCAGTCACTCAGTTCACAACTTTATACCCAGTTAACGATTCTTAATATTAAATTCTTTATACTAATAACAACACAAAACTGATGTGGTTTTTGCTTTCTTCCTGTCCCCTTCTGATACACTGTACTGTCACGTCTACCATGCCACTGTGATTGTTCCTTCATCTGTGTCACCCTGTGCACAAGTACAAGATTCGTTAGCATATACATCTGAGAATTGGGTTAAACGTCTGAATACTCAAGTTTACAACTTGTTCCAAGGACAGGACAAGAGTTCTTGACGCTTCTTACCTGACCACCCCTTGATAGTATCAATCAATCTTTGTAAAAATATTTTTTATTTTTGTTACAGAGGTGATATCCAGAGGAGTTACAGTTACATAAGTCAGGTAATCAGTACATTTCATTTTGGACAATGTCACCCCTTCCCTTGCTCACTCCCAGTTTTTCCCTCCCTTCCCCGCCTACATCAATCAATCTTAAATGTTGCCAGTACAATGGGCACAAGATAGTATTAGAATGTGATCTTAGCATGGCTCTGAAAAGGCCAATTACTGTCGGATTATTATTGCTGTGGGTTTAGGTACTGATTTGTGAAATTGTGACAAACACAAATAAGATTCCTACCTGGATATCTTCCTGGATGTGCAAAGTAGAAATGGCATTGCTCCCATGTCCAATACAACCACTCGCATACTCTGCCTGTCCCAGCTTCCCACAGCTGAACCCACAAACCCAAAATCCCTGCCAGTCCTCACTCCCAACCCAATCTGCCAAGTCAGACCTTGCTAGGTAGGTGCTCTACTGCTGAGCCACATTTCCTGCCCTGGGTTTTACTTTCTAGGT